AGTGTATATTATGCAAAAATCTCATGCTTCCCTTGATAAAAAAAATATTCCTCATAAATACATTGTACTTGGCATGATAGGAAAAATCCCAAATTTGACTCAAAATGGCGCATTTCCGTACCAGCATCCTTCCCCAAACAGGGGAATAAAACCTTGCATAACAAAGGGACATACTAGTTAGTATGTCATGTAAAGAGTTGTTCAGCTGTAGCAAGGTCTGATAGCAATGGAAAAATTCTATTTAGATAATTCTAGTACTTTAATATTTCTGTTACATTTGAAACAGAAAAAAATAAGTCAAGTGATAGTTAATGTCTTAACTACAATGTACTAGTTACTTTTAAGTAATTATTTTGGTAAAACATTTGTAAAAAATTGGATTTCTGACAATTTTTTTAATTTGGCTGTCGAAATGACTCAGTATAGGTCATATGGAGACTTTCAAACTTTACTGGTAGAGGGAGACGAAACCTAAGGTGACCTTCCAGGTATTATTTCAGGCATGAAAGGGCGCCTGACCTGAGTAGAACCACCAGCGTTCTGTGAGCTAGCTCCAGGATAGCTTCCTCACATGAAGGAATCAAAAGTTCCTGTGTGGTTTGAAACCCACGTACAGTGGTAAGGGGCAAGTTGCACTTAGACATTTGGACTGTCCAAGATACATGTATGTTTCATCCCACTCAATTTAAAAGATATATATGGTTAAATCTATTTGAGACCACTTCCTCAATGCATGTGATAAACACTTTATCACTTTCGTTTACATGTCTGTATATAGTACATGATAAAATCCATATCGTTAAGCTTGAATTATTTTACAAAAATGAATATACATGTAATTATAGTCATTTAGATAATTTTTATATGTCTTAACCTGTCCTACGTTCAAATTGATTTTGCAGTTTAACAGTGCACTGTATTTTTTTGTTAATGATTCATTTGATGCTTAATGCTTGTGAACAGCTGACTTCTTTCTTGCTCTTTAACTTCTTTCTAATGCACTATCAAACATTTTGTTGATGCAATGGGGATAAGACAACAATTGTTCTTTCTTTTGCTTTTGTTTTGTTTAAGCTTCATATTATAGCCAAGGCTTTATAAATATTAATATACACGTACAGTTTCTTCAATATTACTAAACTATTAACAGAGTATAAGTTGAAAATATGCTACTAACAGCATGGGCAATATCCTGCAATAGAACCCTTCCCTGGGTTTAAGTCAGGAGTATATATAGGACTCATTCAGTTTTCTTTAGATTATTGTAATTTATATGCAAGTAAACATAGGGGTCTTATCCTATTATTTTTCAAAATACTGTCGCGTTTCTTTTCATAAACCTGTGATAAAATCAAACCAATTTAATTTTTTGGTCAAAAATTTGATCTTTGAAGAAGTCAACATTGATGATGTCCGCTATTATGTGAATGCTTTTGATTCCAGGAATTTAGGTATCTTCTTTTCCAAACAACAACAACTGACTGCGCTGAATGTTTTGAAATGTGAGTTATTTAAAACGCTCAACAAAACATGAATTTTTAACCTACCTTGCGCCTTTTTTTTTCTTGTCACTCGGATTTCCTTCTCTCGTTCCTCCAGACGCTTGTTTTAACAAGTGGCTGTAAATAAGCGTCTAGATGACTGGGAACCTGAGAATAAGGCCATGGTCAGCTAGGTGGCCAACTTAAGAGAACCAGATACAAGGTGAAACAATTTTTTTCTTTATGAAATCTCTCTCTCTCTCTCTCTTTCTCTCTTCTCTTATCTTGCATTTTATTGTAATTTATTGTGTATATATATTTGACTGAAATAAAATATTGTTTAAACCAAATCAGAAATATTCAGAAATAATTTACTAGAGTGCAATAAATGTCCGCAATAAGAGTATTTTACTCAAATATATGCATAGTATACCTTTAAATTATAATTTTCGGAGTCGGTTTTGACTGGCATGCATAAACTTTCTGTTGTCCGTTCAAATTTGCTTTACATTATATTGTTTAAAGACACTTCTCAATCAATCTGAGCCTGCATTTTCAGTTGTGTCATTATGGGCATTCTATAGAGATATCGCTTTTCTGTATTTCAGTCCTTGTTTGGTTTGTCTCCATTTCACAATTTAACCAATCATAAAGGAATTTTACAGATTTTTTTTTAAAAAGTAAACCAAGTTTGTATTGTTTGTCCATTGAAAACATGACTAAAATTTTAAGCCTTTATCATTATTAAAACAATTGTTTCTACTACCTCTGTCTCCACTGGAATATTTTAATTTTCCATTTATCTATAATGGAATCTTGTCTTATCTAGCTGTACAGTTTTTCATTTTATTATTGTGCATTTTTTATGGTTTTTTTTTAAACAACTTTTTCCGGATATCGGAGTATACTTTTTCATACCTTACATTCAATACAAAAATATAGCACCGAAGTTTTCCTTTTGAACATTTGATTCTTTATGGTATCAGATACACGCATTGTAGTAAGAAGCATAGTGCCACATGTTAGAAAAATGTACGCCCTTACCGAGACCTTCGGGTCTAATGTCTGAGCAACAGCAACCCAGTTTGGATCATTTACTCACTTGCAAAAGAAAGTGTACTATTGGTTACTTGGAAATTCTATATACAGACATGAGCAAAAATAGTAGCAAATTCGTCATCACAACCTGCATAAATAATTTGCAAATACCATGGTTTCAAATTGTAGAATTGTGAGTTTTAAATTCAGTCTTATTGTGTAAAGATAAATCAGTATCTGTTGAGTTCATCTCACCTATTAATCAACTATCCACGAAAATGTTTTTGACTGCATGGACCCGACTTAATAACTTTTTGATTTGTGTTCTTTTAAAACACACAAGTATACAAAGGCAAAAACGCATTTACTTCAGGCCCAATTCTGCTACTTTTACTTTGTATCCCTAAACTGTTTACACGTTATCACACTTCTAACAATGGCCAAATTTGCCAATATTCTGCTTGAAAGATTTACAAAGTTTACCTGCTACCAAACACCTACTTAATTCTGCATTTTACTTTTTTTCTTTCCTAAATGAATTGAATAAGGATATTCATCCGCTATATTTTAAGTTTGTCTTCGTATTTCTAAAATTGATGAGGAGACGAATTATGAAATCAAATCTTAATAACGTCACGACTCCACATTTGGCGCCGATATAACAAAGTTAAAAAAAAATTGGCACGTACTCCGGACCCTCAGAATAACATAACGCCAGCCTGTCCTAAAGTATATTGGAAAATACATAGAGAATATTTGTTTGTTTGTGTATAAATGAAATTTTATTTCATCGAATTGGCTTTAAAAACAGTATCTAACGAGTGGCGTAGCCAAGAGTAAGTGTGAGATTACTGTTTTTAAAATTCGCGAGATGAAATAAAATTAAATCTTACACAACAAACAAACAAATTTTCATTTTTAATTTACGCTTATTAACGTTAATATTAAAATCTGTTTTGCCAATTGAGAGCCTCAAAAAAGTCGAATTTCCAATTAAATACAGGAAGTCTGGGGCTGAAAAATAAGTTCGACAATTAACGTTAAATTGCGGTGATATAATTCATTTTATTTTTAAAAAATATGAATGATCGCTTATTTTAAAATAAACAATTCTAGTAGGAGAAAAAGTCCAACCATCCATCCATATTTCTGTTACTTACTGCGAATTTATATTAAACCTGGCTTTGTTAAATGTGAGCGGCCGTCATAATTTAAAGTTGTGTATTTCACTCGAGGAAAATGATTGTGTTTGATTCAGAGGGTTATCATTTGGATTTGTTAGTCATACAATTGTTTAAAAGATGAAAACTTAACAGACAATAGGTAAGTGTTGACAGATGTGTAAACATTCAAAAAGCGGCTAGGAAATTGGAAAACTTGATATTGTTGAAAGGCTGCCTTACGCACGCTGGGTTGTTTACTTTTTCATCGGGCTGATGGCTGTCATTGCTTTTCAAATTTTCATATTGTATAAGGCAGTTATTGCTCTAAGATACTTAAATATGTCCAAATGTCATCAAGGGCAGTTTTGCATGTGGACGGAATGTATTTTTCAAACTGTAAAAATGAAACAAAAAATTAAAGAGACGAAATTTGGTGATTGGTAATTTGAATGAATAGAAGTAAGTTTTCTTCTTTTTATTACTTTTGACATTTGTTATTTAACAATTTCAGCTTTGTTTTTCTTTAAACAGCCTAACATTGTCAGAATTGTCAGCAAAAATAAAATTGAGGTACCGCATGTGGAAAATCTTAAAAAAGTAGTTTCGTCATTGAAAAGTGTGAAATTATATTTTGATAATTTTCACTGTGAAACTATCAAATATAGTTTTCACGAATGAAAAAGTAATCCTCTGAAAAGCATAAAATAAATGATTTTATCAAACCGATTACATTGTTGAAGTCAATGTTCCAAGACATCGTAATATGAAAAAACAGGATAGTATGTGATATTTACCCAAAGATGAGCATAGTTTAGCAGAACTAAAACACCATCATTTAAAGCAATTTGCGATTTTGAATTTTTTCTAACATTTGGTACCTTCAAACGATCGTTCGATTGAAAGGTTCATAATTTATTTACAACAATGCTATATGCAGTTTAGTTCTAATCGGTCCATGTAACTGAAAATATATTTTGAAATATATAACTTAGTAAATACTTGATTGAATAACTGGCTCCGGAGACAAGTGAAATGCTCATTTTTAATTCAGAAACGATCATATTCAGTGTGTAGCAACTGTGAAAACATAGAACAACAAGAACATTCAAATCAGAAAATCGAAAATTGAAAAAAAATTATAAAAAAGAATGAAAACGATTATGAAAAATCTTCAATATTCTCTCCGGTATGTTTTAGATGAGCGCAGCTTTTTATATATGACGTAGCAATTGTGTCAACAAGTCACGTGATTATGATTTACATTACTGTCCGGGAGAGGAACAGCATTTACAACATATCTCATCAACAGATAGGTATACATTGGAATTTTCGTAACTGAAATTGATGTTGCTACTTAATGAGTTTTGCAATATCTAAGAAAAAATAGAAATGAAGTGTAAATTGTTTGTTCTTTTAAAAATAGCATCAGTATATGCTTTGGTTGATTTTAAAACTTTGGAAATTAACATTTGTCGTTCAGAGGAAAATAGATTTTACGTAATGGAAGGAAAGACTATAGAACAATGTGTGGACGAATGTCGCGCTCGTAAACATTGTGAATCGTTGAACTATAGGACCAAAATTAATTTGTGTGAACTGTTTTCTACAACTAATCCAGACAATTTAAGTCATGGAGACTGTATCTATGCAGACAAAAGAAATCTACAACCATTTCAGGTATTTTGTAGTTACGAATAAATATAAGAACTATACGGAGTTAATATGTTTTACATTTTTTTGTATATTGCTGAACATAAGAAGTATCAGCTGAAAATAAGAAATACCAATTTTTATTTTATGCTTTTGTGGATTATTGATTTATCTGTGAAAATAATTTTTTATAACATCGCAGTGAAAATTATCAAAATATAATTTCACTCTTTTCATTGACCAGACGTAAAGATTTTTCCCTTAGTGGTACAACATTTTTTTTTGCTGAAAATTATCAGGGATGTTTAGAGAAAAAACAATGTTGAAATTTATTAATTACTTTAATTTCAAAGGTAATAAAACGAAATATATCTTACTTCATTTCATTCAAATTACAAATCACCAAATATCACCAAAATATTTTTTGTTTGTTTCATTTTTACAGTTTGAATAATACACTTTCTTCCACACGCAAAACTGCTTTTGATGGCATTTGGGCATATTTAGCTATCCTACGAGCAATAACTGCCTTATAAAATATGGAAACTTGAAAAAAAATGACAGTCATCAGCCCGAAGAATAAGTAAGACAGCCTGTCAACAATTCAATGTTTCTAAAAATTCCTAGCGGCGTTTTGAATGTTTACATACCTGTCAACGTTTATTAATTGTCTGTAACACACTTCAAATAAGTTCTTTCTTACATATCAAAATGATATCCCTCTGAATCAAACACAATTATTTTTCTCCCGTGAGATACACAACTTTTAAAAATGGCGGCCGCTTATATTACACAAAGCAAGGTCTAATATAAATTCGTCGTAAGTAACGGAAATAATGTCGGATGGTGTGACTTTTTTCTTCTACTTGAATTGTTTGTTTTTATTATTAAAACAAGCGATCATTCATATTTTTTGAATAAAATAATTAATATCATCGCCATGTTACGTTGCTTGTCGAACTTATTTTTTAACTCAATAATTTTCCTATTTATGAGAAATTCGTCTAAATTTGGACTAAATTTGAGGCTAACAGTGGGGAAAAAAGATTTTTGTATTTAAGAAATAATATCGGTCTAAGCGGTGTTTATCGGCTATTTAACACCGGTTTGGTGGTTTGATAAACACCGCTAAGACCGATATTATTTCAATTCTAACATGATAAAATAAGGAAGGTCACTAATTTTTTTTTTCAAGCGGAAATAATTTCCGGTGCCGATTTTTGATTAACGTTGTTCGATGTTTGCACCCTACTGTTGCGAAGATATAGAAAATATTAAACAAAAGAAATAATAAGAAAAATAACGTTATTTTATCAAGTTTTCAACAATAAAAAACTTCTTAGAATGGATTGTATTGTGTTTAAATCAGTGCCCCATTTATCATTCTTGTATGTATGAAATAACGTCAGCTTGTTTATGAATTAGTTGTTTACTTAGGATAACGTCATTCGCTTCTTACGGATTGGCGCCGTTTTGTCAAAATATTCATTTACTGATATGGATCAAATGTGTAGCGTTAGTGTATGTGAGCTATTATTTCGGTATTGTATGAAAAGAAAACATTACAAGAACTAAAAATATAAATAAAAATGCTTTTTATTGTTGCTTTAAAAGGCTTTTTTAACTATATAATCGAGTGTAAAAACATAACAGCCGCACATACAAGTAGTCCCTAACCAGTGTTTATGGGCAATTAAACACCGGTTTTTTCCTTCTTTGTCTATAGTGTTAGAATAACGTTTAAATTGAGGTAATTTCATTTAAACTTGTTTTAAGCATAAAATAAAAAGAAAATTTGTTTATTTGTTGTGTAAGATATAATTTAATTTCATCTCGTGAACTTTAAAAACATACAGTATTCTGTTTTATAATAAGAATACTGTTTTCAAAGCTCACTATATGAAATAAATTTCATCTTACACACAAACAAAAAAATATGCTCTCTTTATATATTTAAAACAGCAAGTAGTCTTAAATGGAAAAAACAGCAATACTATAGAAGAATATATTTCTAAAGGCAACAAGTATGGACACAACATTTTTACTTCACATAATTATTTTAATGCTTTAACAGTATTTCAAACTAAACGGACTGATAAACAATTGTATGAAATATAAATTATGCATTTGAAAAAAGAATAAGCTTTTCAGTATTTAACCTGCAAAGTGGGATTTTATTTTATTCAATATTCTTAAAATAATGTATTTGTATTCCAATTCCTTCCTTTTTTTTAAATTAATGATAATTTTCTGAACAGAATCACTGCAAATATGGAGAAGTTCAAGAAACAACTGGATGTGTCATTAAAGGTACTACCAAATATCTTATTGTGTGATTTGATAATTATCAAAATCTTAAAAATCACTCCCTTATTTGCCGGACTATTAAACCAATTTAGCAAGGAAAATGTTTTGTTTGTTAAAGGAAATTACTAGTGAAACCAAAGAAAGTTGTTTTATATTAATCATTGTATCTTTGCCATCTTGTTTCATTACTTTTTCTTCAACGGCTGTCTCTCCGTACTGTAACCAATCATAAAGGGGGTAATTTTAAGTATGTAACATGTATCCTGATTTAAGCATATTCAAACACTCTGGAAGTAGCGTTCCTTGAACCAACTAAGTCACGAAAACAACGACTTTTCCTTACAGAGTTTACCGTCAATTCGTAGATTTCTAGTCCAACACGTTAACCAATTGTAAAATAAATGAAGATATTCAAATAGACATTTTATAGTTTGTTTTTATATTTTATTACATTTGTCATATATGAAATTCTGCGTCCGATTTTAATCATAAAAAGTTACATATCTATTTTAAGACAGTGTCTTAATTAGGAAGTGAAATTTATAAATTTTATTTTGTTATTGCATGAGTGAAATTTGTATCTATAACAAAATCTTATCTCTCCAGTGGATTTATCTTATCACGCATTTTGTAGTCTACACTTTTGAATTACACAGGTGGTAAAACTTTAACCCAAAATGTAAAAGTAGTTATTTCTTTGTTACAATTTATACGCATCGTAAATACTTCCTATAAGCAGAAAGCCCAGCTTTGCATAACGGTTTATATACAAATAAACGCTGCTCTCAATTGCTGATACATTTTATTTGTGCACAAACGCCTTACCGCAAGAATATTAGGACATTCAAGTTTAGTTTAGCAGGTTTATAATAAAAAATGAACAGAAGCATTTCTCTTGTTCTCTTTTTGAAAATGTATTTTGCGCAACCATTTATACTTACACATGTATTACTATCACTTATTTGTCTACTTGTATTTTAATCAAATACATGTTCTTAAAATTAAGAATGTGTAAACATGACAATCCCCGAAAACGGAATGGTCCTTGGCAATATGATGACGGTTGGAGCAAAGATCAGGTACATTTGTGAAAACGGATACAAACTAAAGGACAATAGGTATACATCTGTTGCTGAGTGTCTTAACACAGGTCATTGGAGTGACAACGCTGAATGTGTGTTAGGTAAGCACATTTTCGAGATCTTAAAAGATATAAGAGGAACATTAGCTTGTTTATAGACTAAAACTTAACTTTTGGAGCAATTTATGAAAATATCATTTACCAAAAGGAAAATACATTTTCTTGTTTAGCTAAATACCGTTAGATTGTCATCTTCACACTTAACACTCCGAATAAGATGTATAATTACAGAGAATTGCATCAAAAAGCTGTTTATTATTTAATGATTATTTTCAGAAAAATATACCCTATTTAGCATTTCAATGTGCATATCATAAATCATTTAGTAGTATGTTTTACAATATGTCTTTAAGTTAATTTAAATTGCACACATAGTGTAAGAAGAATTGATTTCCCTTCTGAAAAAACAAACATCAAAAGAAATATATGTTCATTATTTATTTCTAGTAATATAAAGTAAAACTGTGTAAGTTTATATGGGATTTTTTTTTTCATTTTGAAGAATCTTCATATTGTTTAAATGTACTTGAGTGAATGAAGAAATTCCTACAAGAAAATTGAATAAAAAATATATCTAAAACGTTCCAGTAGCTCATTCTTTGTAAAGGTTATTTAAAGCTTCATATTGCCGGATCTATGTAACATGTCCGGTTCATTAATAAATCACTTGTGAATTAACATAAACACAAATATTGATGATCAATCTTGAATTTTTAAGCAGAGTTTTTGGAACAAAATTAAGCTTAAGCTTGAGACATAAAATAATTCAATTATTTACAAAATTGAAATTTATAAGGTGATGTAAATGAAAGAAATAAAGAGGATAAAACATCAACTCTTCACTTTAATTACTTTTTTATTTCTTAGTAACGAATTTTAATTTTCACTCCATATTTTATGTGCAAAAATACGGAACAATTCTCAGTTCAATATTTTCAAGACCATTTCAGTCTTTAGAGCTTTGTAAATAAATCGGACAATTTCAGTTACTTACACCGGGATGATTTATTTTATGTTTATAAACTTAACGTTTCAGGTAAGTTCTAAGCGATATTTACAGAAATTCCATTTCGATCCTGAGTTGTTTTTATTGTTTATATGAAGTTATTTATTAAATTAAAAGGAATTATGGCTATATAAAAACATATTTTTACTTTCACCTGTTCACTCACTGTAACCCTTGAATTAGCATAATTTCACTTTAACAAAATGTTTCGATGAGATTGGTCTTTTCCTTTTCATAGTAAATTTAAACATATTATAATAGAGATAACTCAGCAATGCTCTCTATCAGATGATCTAGAATTTGAAACTGAGACATGCAACAACCAAACGTGTCAAGGTCATACGATATGATATATTCTTAAATTTCCCAGTTAAAGAGATTACTTTTACATTAACGAAAACGTTTGGCGAAAATAGTCATTTGTATTTGCATGGTGTTGTTTTAATAAGGTGAGAATGCGAACTGTCGATAACGTGAGTTTGCATGATTTTCAATACCTTGTAATTGATAGATGGAAGGTAAAACCGTTAGTCTACACACGTTTGGAAAATCATACTTATTTAGATACAAAATATTTATATAGATTAACGTTATAATTTTGAAAGTTGCAGTTACTAACACCTGGACAACCTGGACTGACTGGAGTTCGTGTAGTGTTCCTTGTGGTGGCGGTCGAAGGACAAGGAACAGAACATGTACAGTTCACACACAAAACGGCGATGACGTACAATGCTCTCTACCAGATGAACTCGATTTTGAAACAGAGACATGCAACAACCAAACGTGTCAAGGTCATACGATATGATATATTCCTATATTCCTAGTTAAAGAGAAGTATTTAATGTATTGCCTTTACATATAACGAAAGTTTCTGGGAAAAATGCTCATTTGTAATTGCGTGGCAAACACATGATTAAAAGTTAATTGTGCAGTTAAGGCAATGATAGAGTGATTTTCATCATATAGATCTGATAAAGTAATTTGTACTGGAAAATTAACAAGGAATTTCAGCGTTTTTATTTACACCAATACGGTTTTTTATTATTCACACCTTCCTTTTTGGAATTTTCCCCAAATCGGAACAAATACCGTTGTTTCAAATATTTTTAACTCGCTATTATAATGAAAAAATCCATCTGATATTGAACCATTCAACTCCGGACTGATCTAAGTTATTTCTACATCTGAAATTGATATTCCTTATCCAGTTCCCTTCCTTGGGTTTTAAATTTTTATATTCCTTGGGATCGCATTGTTTCCAGATTTTTATACTTCACAACAGCAGGTGTCAAGTGCTGTGTGGCAGCTGTAAAAAGTTGCCCCGTACTTCACTTCAGTGTTGTTATATTTTTTCTGGTCCTTCGGGATCATTCATGCCAGTACTATTAAGTGTTGAGAATTGAGTACCGCTCAAGCCGGTGCTAAGGGGCGTGAGTGATGTTGCACTTATTCATTATCCCTCATGTACAGACTCAATCAAACCGAGTCTGCAATTCTTATGTAATTTTGTTGTGATTAATGCTTCCGAGGGATCACTTTGTTTCCAGATTTTTATACCTTCTCTCAAATCGTTTCATGTACTATGTATTGCAATGCATTTATTGGCATGATTTTCAGTTTGCACACAGTGGCATAATCATCTTTACTTGTATACAAAACATGATTATTAATAAAACAATCTGATTAAAAGCAGCTTTAAATAACGCTCCGCTTTTAGATCTAAAAGTGACCAATTACGAAGTTATTTCTGTCGGTCTTTCACATAACCAATCATCGGCGAGATTACATAATTTTGAAAGCGATGTGGTTTCTAATTTTAACCATGGGAAAACTTATACTGAGAAGGAAATTGTCACGATTTCGAAAACAAACTTGCCGTTGTCCATATAGCCGACAGGTAAACTTGCAAAACGATCTCGCCATTTAAAAAATTGACTCTATTTTAAACTCTTTTTTTCTTACAAAATTCAACAATTTATTTAACTTCCATGGATAACGGTATTTTGATACCTTTTCTAATGCCTATGTAAAAACCGGTTTGATTGCATGGCTAAAAATAGCTTTTTCGGGAAATCCGAATTATTAAAAAGGCGTAACATATACGGTCGTAATCACATCTACATAACACAAATAGGTAGATAAATAGGTAGAACTTTAGTCAGATTGATAAATAAAACTGATTATTATTAAGAGAGACATGTAGCCATCAAATTTGCCAAGGTAGTACAATGTTCTCTTAATTTTCCAAGTTCAAGAAAAGTGTCTAGTATATTGTTTTAACAATTAATTTAACAAAACATTTTGGTTAAAACTTTCATTTTTATTATCATGTTTGAGACTTTATTTTTCATTCCGTGCTACTTTCTCCAATGAGACATCTATTAAAACGATAAAATTCAAAATTTCAAAATTCTTTTACATATGTTAAAAAATACCGTATACCATCAAGTTTCAATAAAGTAAAGATTGCAGACTCGAAAATGTAAACTGTCCAACCAATACGCGACATGAGACTAGCATATGTTTGCGCTCTTGTTACACTTTTTGAGCCGGGACCAAACACTTTAATTCTCACACGACTAAACTTGTGTCAAAATCGTCACTTTCGGGTGACCCAAAATGACCGCCACATTCATATATTTTTTATTTTACATTATATTGAATATAAAAACTTTATAAAGAACACACTGTGCATCTTGGTAATAGTTTATCACAAATAAATGTCTTTTAAACGAGCGCTTGCAGACAGCTAACACTCAGGACATGACGATAGAATGCTCGAGTAGCCGAAAGCATGTACGTCGTTTTTGTACCAGCTTGACAAGCGCTCCACTCAGAGCCACGAACTCTTCTCGTATTGCTTGGGCAGAACGCAAAATGTACTTAAATGTTGATTTCATATTAAAATAAGATGTATAAATGTTTATTCTGATTGCATTTAGAAGATAATTCGATATTCTATTGATTTACATTGGAAAAGTCATTGTAAGATTCACTTAATAATTATTTAAAAGGTTTTATTGTTTAGGGAATTTGTGTTTACATTTTGTTTGAACAATTGTTTGAAAACCAGTTTTATCGTTGTAATAGATTTCCCATTCATGTTTGAATAGTAAAATAGTTTTGATTGAGTGTTTACACGGGCGTATCACGTTGTGAGCAGGATCTGGCCCCCAAGCGTCTCTGATAGTTTGAGGCTTATTGTGCCTTTAAGCTTGAGTCAGTTTTTGCGACAGAGAGTTATAGAATTCTTTAGTCGTGAAAATAATTACTTATTACCCTTTCTTGTGCCCTGCACTTTTTCTTAATGAGATCTATCATCCTATGAAGTTTCATGTCCATAGCTTTTATACTTGAGGAGAAATGGTATGGACAAAAATAAAGTATGAAAATTAACAAAGGGTAATAACTCAAAAAATAAGAAATGCAGAGTACCGGTTCTTGTGCACTGCACTTCTTCTTAATAAAATTTATATTAATAATATAAATAACGTAATTGAAAGGGATAAAACATACACTTATTCCAAAATGTCTTGTGTTTTCTTAGTCAATCATTGGTAAGAAGTTTTATTAGCTTTAAATCTTAAGCATATAAACGATTTTCGAGTTCTTTTAATTTCACCCATGCGATAAGTAATATATTTCATAAGTAATATATGTTTACCCAATAAGATAAAAAATTCTGCTGCTACTTATTAGGTTTGGCTATGTTTGCACGTCTGCCTCACTCGCTTTTAAATAAATGTACTGGAAAAAATCTTTCACCTTACGTATTCGTATTCTTTAATCACAATATCAACAATAGTTTAAAATACACAAACTGCAAAGATTTTGCTAGATACGCTTTTCATTTTATATCATTTATATCATTTAATCTTTCTAATCCGAGCTTTCCTTTTCTAAAAAATATTTCCAAATTAAAAAAAAACAAAAAAACAAAAACAGATTGTTCCGTCTGTCTCAACATAATGAACGTTGCCTCAACAGAAATTCTGTCTTTTGCTGTATATTAAGAACTCTTCTAAGTAGTCTACGTAATGTTGATGTTTAAATCAAGTGTTGAGTGTTTCTGAAAATGTGCATTGAAGAAAACGTGGGTTTTAATAGGCTGTGAAAAATGAAATACCTTGTAATTGATGGATGAATGATGGGTGAAACTTTCTATTTCTTGAGGACAATACGCCGCTTTTCATGGAATGGCACGATAGTGTCACATGGAAGGTTGATGATTTCCGTATGAACTTATCTGCGGATGTTTCTAAATTAAAGAAATAATTTAACCATTTCATGTTGAATTCTGCTTAAGGCGGTGCTAGTGGGCGTGGACGGTAGTTTGCACTTGACAGTACCGTCCATGAACAGGCTCAATCAAACAGAGACTGCATCATTTTCAATTTTGCCATTTTGGGCTTTGTTTAGGTATTCTTATTTTCTCTCCTTTGAGTCTGTGACATTCATACATAATTGATGTTAAATGGTAAAACTGATTGTTTGACAATTTCAGTTACTTACACCTGGACAGCCTGGACTGACTGGAGTTCATGTAGTGTATCTTGTGGTGGCGGTCAAAAAACTAGGACAAGGTTATGTACTATTCCCACACAAAACGGCGATGGCGTACAATGCTCACCGGATAACCAAGACATTGAAAGAGAGACATGCAACAATCAAACTTGTCAAGGTCATACGATATGTTATATTCTTAAATTTCCCAGTTAAGGAGAAGTATAAAGTTTACTGCTTTTACAGTCACGAAAACTTTTTTACGAAAATGTTCATTTTATTTGCATGGCAAACACATTATTATAAACGTTTTTATGCAGATAAGACAACGTTAGAGTAATATTTGTGATATAAATTTGAGAAAGTAATCTGTACTGGAAAAGTTCAAGAAAAGTGTCTAATATATTGTTTTTACATTAACGATATAATCATAATACTTATATTGATAAAGTATCATATATTTTGCTTAAACATACAAAAAGTTTGGATGAGAATGTTCGGTTCAGTATGTCCGTCTGTCATTAACTCTTGTAGGGATTATTCTTTTCTTTTCGTGGTAAACATATTATAATAAAAGGTACTTTGCAGTACAGATATCTTCATGTTTTTATATTCATGTGATCTTAATGATACCTTCTAAAAAACTTTATATTTAAAATTTTTATGAAATTTATAGTCAATGGAACGATGTATGATGAAATATGTTATAAACAAAAAAAAGACATGTTGCTTTCATAACTAAATGGTCGTTTTAGAAAGATTTGTTACTCCGAATGTTAATGCAATGGTATGTACGTACATTCATAATGTACGTTAAAAGAATAAGAGAAAAATATTATTGTTAACTGTTCCAACCCATAGAACATTGCGATATCCTTAAAAAATGCAAAGATGAGTATCACCAGTTTGGTACTTCTTTCTTTCTACTCCATACAGTTAATTTACGTTTCCAACAAACTATAAAATAATCCTGCAACACAACTGCTGAATTTGCTATCATCTAGGGACATCATAACTAATAATATGAATATTTTAGTAACTTACACATGGACATCCTGGACTGACTGGAGTTCATGCAGTGTTTCTTGTGGTGGCGGTCAAAGAACTAGGTACAAGACATGCACAATTACTGCACAAAGTAGCGATGGCGAACATTGCCTATCAGATGACCCATCATTTGAAAAAGAGGAATGCAACCACAAAACTTGTCAAAGTAAATTACTATTATGTAATTCTAGCTAAAGAAAAAACTATCGTATTTCTTAAATACTTCCATGAATCTCAACAAATATTGAAGAAATATACAAATAAAAAAATGAATATATTGAAATCCTTTAATTTCTTAAGCATTTGCTTATTAAATGATATTTTAATTTTATTTTGTAGTGCCGACGATAGGAAGACATTGCACGAGAGATACTGACTGTGTAGAAACTAACGGCACATGCATCAGACGGAAATGTTTCTGCAACCATTTGTATCGGTACAACGAGACCCTACAAAACTGCATAAAGGGTAATTATTTTCTTTTTAATGAGTTTTAAAATCATTTTCCAATTAGTTCGTAAGCTACCTTTTCTTTTATTTTAGATAATATAATCTGTACATTATCCAAACATATTACAGGGAAATATTTTCTTTTATTTTAGATCATATATTCTGTACATTATCGAAAAATATTTCAGGAGAATATTTTCTTTTATTTTAGTTTATATATTTGGCACAGTATCTTATAGTTAAGACTTAAACCCAAAACATAATTAATTAGAATATTTTTGACCATGTTGTTACCCATACTAATTATTTATGCTACTCTTCGTTCACATGTTATTGCTTGATACATGTTAAATGTGTATTATGTAATCTGTGACAATTGAAAATAAAGTGATTTGTATTGTATTGTATTGTATTGACAGAAAAATGTTTAAGGTCTTTCAGTCTAATGAACTAAATTAACATTGATGGTTGTTAGCACTAGTATAAAAGCACATGTAATGAAATGAATGAAATAGAATCTCATCAGGAAATCGAGTTTTATATTTATGTTGTTAAATAAGACATCATGTCAACGAAATCTTTCCTTTCTAATATGCGCTTACGTCATTCTATTAATCAGTGTTTGTTCATTTGTGATACACTTAAAGTTGTTAACTTATTCCTACTTCTTGCAGTGTGTGATTCTATGACAGATGAATTTGAGGAGTTTCCTGACTTTGCTATCAACAGTTACAGTCATCTTTTGTATTGGGCAACGCTTGACAGCACAGAAATATGTAAAAATAAATGTATCGACAACAAAAACTGTCTTTCCTATGAAGTTAAAAATGCTTATCATACATATATTTTCTGTAAATTGGCATTTGTTTCGCGTGACATGATGTTGGATGCCTTTCCTGAAAATATCATAGAGTATAGTGAGGCGACACTTTATACTAGAAAGTGTAGTTAAACGACATTGTTCCAATGTACGAATACATGTATCAACAGCAGATTACGTAACACGTAAAATAGTGTTTCTTGACAAAGGCCTTTGTAGTTAATTTGCGAACTTTTATTTTGGTTAAGCATGTCATCGTAAAAAAAGAATTTTTGAAACTAAAGATATATCAAATTCGACATAGTTCAGTTAATTTATGTAGTGAAAAGCAAGACTGTTTTAACATTTTATTTGATTGTTTACTTAAAGTTACACAAAAAGACGCATAATTGTAGATATTTTTAAGACTAAGTTTACCTAGAATAGCTTTGATTTATTTTAAAATCATTTTTCTTTTCTTATTTACGATAGAGAGAGTTAATTGATCCCTGAAGAACGTCCTTAACGACAGCATTAAAATGTTGCAGCTTGTTCATGAACGGTATAAGTAGTACAAGCGACCATCCACGCTCACCCTTGCACCGGTTAATTTATTTAATTAAACTTTTGAATTTTGGTACATCCGCAGATGTAATCATACGGCAATTATTCTGTTACCATCAGCCATAAGTGTCATACTATGAAAGGTGGTGTATGTTTCTGGCGTTATATAATTCGTGTGCCCTAAACGAGAAATTGATGGGCGAATTAAATAAATGGGAGTTTTAAAACTGATCACAGGTTATAAAGTCTGCATACGACATATAATCTGTAGAAAAACAAATTACGAATCAGGTATGATATTCTTCTTGTGATGAAACATCAGACAAGTAAAGAATACTGGAACCACCAAATAGAAAAAAAAATATGTAGAAGTACCAAAAACAGAACATAAAAGCAGGGTGCATTTACATGATAATTAGTAACATTTACAATTTTACATTTTTATCTTTTAATTGATATCTTTACAGATAAGAAATTAATATTATATGATTATGATCATTACATGAATTTGATTATTTATTTGTGTTGATATATATTTCAAGTGTAATGTAATATGTATGTGAGATATGTTTCAAGTTTTTTTATTATGTATTTATGTATGTACATGTATATAGAATAGATTTGATATTGAACACAAGTAATATTGGATTAAGTTGCCCAGAATTTTGCTTCCCAATATAAAATTTAATATCATGTAACACAATTTTTATGGTTTTATATCAGAAATATGATGCTCAAATTAAGATTTATCAATTTTGTAAGTTCCAAAAAGTATTATTTATAAAGATATTACCGAATTAAACAAATAAAGGGAGGTAATAAAAGTTTATTTTCAATAAGACTTAGTCAAATATTTTATTAAGAAATGAATGCATATATTTCAATGACTAGATATAATATTTACAAATATTTGCAGTATATATTTAACATATTTTTGATATTAGAAAACTGTTTTATAAGCATAAGTATAATACATATATATATATAATTTCATTTAAGTGTGGTATACAACCTTAATTACAAAATACAGGATCTTTAAATGTTTGGATAAAGAAAACGCATTCACTTTTTATCTGCTACAAATCACTGATAAGTTAAAAAATAATATAGGTTTAATCGATGTATATCGGCTGTTTAACACCGGTTTGAAGTTTTGGTTTGAAGGAATTGACCAAGAAGGCCGTAGACATTAAACATAGCGTATGATGGTTATAACTAACAGGAAAATGAGAATTATGCTATATGATCATGTATCATAAAGTTTAAATACGAGTTTTTATATGTGACTGCGGCAAATAATATATCCCATGCGAACAGTGCAGATAAGATCAGCAAGTACATGTTTTTGCAGTTTGCTTTAAAGTCCGTAAATGTTTTTTTAATCGTGTTGTAAGTTTTTCATGAATATGTATATCATGATCTTTGTTTGCATTTCACATGTTGTTTAAGTTTTGAACAATTGAATTAACTTAAGTTCATGATAATTCTGATTTGATGTTAACTAAATATCAATTGCGTGTACACGTTACAACAACTTAATGTTTGTCTGAAACTAATTACATTTATTTTATTTTTCAGTTTTCTTTTTGTAAACATGCAAATCAATATTCCATGCTAATTATTATTAAAACTTATTTTGATTAAATCCTGCTCTTTAAAATCAATGTGGTACTAGAAAAAGCTAAATAGAAATATGTAGAAGGACCATAAATACAGCATTAAAGCAAGGTGCTTTAACGTGATAATTAGTAACATATAATTTAACATTTTATCTTACAATTGATATCTTTACAGAAAAGAAATGAATGTTATGTGATTATGATCTTTACATGCATTTGATTATTTATGTGTGTTGATATATATTTGATGTGTAAGTTGTACTAATTTGTGATATATTTCAAGTTTTTTATAATGTATGTATGTATTGTTAACTATATAGAATAAATTTGAATTTTGAACACAAGTAAAATTGGATTGAGTTGTCCACCATTATTTGATAAAGAAATCGCGTCCATGTTTATTTGCTACAAATAACTGATTAATGTGTTTTAATAGGCGCTTTTTGCAAAAGCAAATAGCAAAATAAATATGACATAACATATCATAGAATTATTCAGCATAAAACATAGCATAGTAATTTATAATGATTATAATTAACAGGAAAATGAGAATTATGCTATATGATTATGTACCAAAAAGTTTAAATACGAGTGTTTGTAATTCAACATTTACTGTGACGGCAACTAAGTCATCCCAAGCGAACAGTACAGACACAGATCAGCCTTCTGCTCTTCACAGTTCGCTGTTTAGTCTGTACTTATTTTTTTAAATGTTTCATTTAATGTTATCGTTTTACTAAATTGTTGTAAGTTTTTCGTGAATATGTATATCACGATCTATCTTTGTTTTAGTTCACATTTTCTTTTATTTTTTAACTTGCGAATGTGCAATTCATTTCGCATACCGAATATTATAATTTGAAAATGTATTCATTCAATCTTAAAAAGAATAGTGTTGTTCTTGATGTTACTTAATATTAATTGTTGTACACGTTACCACAATTAAATGTTTTTTCCTGAAACTAATTACATTTATATAAATGTTCAGTTTTTTTACAAACATGCAAACTCATAGTCCACGCTTATCATTAATTAAACTTTTTTCACTTCATTCTGCTCTTTAAAGTCAGCGTGTTTCTAGAAAAAGCCCATTAGAAATAAAAAAAGTACTAGTACCATAAACATAACATTAAAGCAGGTTGCATTAACATGATAATTAGTAATATTTACAATTTTACATTTTATGTTATACTTTATATCTGTACAGATAAGAAATTAATGATATGTGATTATAATTTTTTCAAGCAGTTGAATTTTTATAAATGTTGATGTATATTTGATGTGATATTAATTTTGTATTAATGTGTGATGCATTTCATGTTTTTTTTTTATTTATTAATGTTTTGTATATAGAATAGATTTGAATATTGATCACAATTAATATCGGATTTAGTTGTCCATCCATTTTTATCTGCTACAAATCATTGATAAGTTAAGAAGTAATGTTAATCGGAAATTTTACACCGGTTTCGAGTTTTGATGTGTTCCAATTGACCACGAACGCCGTAGATATAAAACATAGCGTATAATGAGTATAACTAACAGGAAAATGTGAGATATTCTATATGAACATGTATCAAAAAGTTTAAATACGAGTTTTTATAATTTCACATGTACTGTGATGGCAATATTAAGACATCCCTTGCGAACAGTGCAGACCAAGATTCGCCGGTACATGCTTTTGCAGTTCGCTATTTAATCTGTACAAATTTTAAATTTTACCGTTTTTTAATTTTCTAATCGTGTTGTAAGTTTTTCATGAATATGTATATCATGATCTTTGTTTTCATGTCACATGTCGTTTATTTATGATTTACGAAAGTGCATTTCATCTCACATACTGAATTTCAAAGTTTTGGAAAAATGAATTAACTTAAATTTATGATATAGCCGATTTGATGTTTACTTAATATCAATTGTTTGTACAGGTTACCACATCTAAATGTTTTTCCTGAAAAAAATATATTTCAATTATCTATTTGTAAACATGCAAACTAAATTTCCTTACTTATCATTATTTAAACTTTTATTTGTTAAATTCTGCTCTTCAAAATCAGCGTGTTTCTAGAAAAAAAGCCTAATTGAAATATGTAGAAGTACTAGTACCATAAACACAACATTAAAGCAGGTTGCATTACCATGATAATTAGGAACATTTACAATTTTACATTTTATCTTATACTTTATATCTGTACAGATAAGAAATTAATGTTATGTGATTATGACCTTTACATGAATTAGATTATTTATTTGTGTTGATATATATTTGAAGTATAATTTGTATTTATGTGTGGTATATTTCAAGTTTCTTTGATTATGTATTTATGTGTTTTATATAGAATAAACACAAATAATATTGGAATAAGTTCCCCGCAATTTTGCTTCCCGATATAGAATTCAATGTTTGGATAAAGAAAACGCATCCATTTTTGTGTGCTTCAAATCACTGATTACTGTGTTTCAACAAAAGCAAATTGCAAAATAAAAAAAAACATAACATATCATAGAATTATTTCAGCATAAAACATAGCATATGATGTTTATAACAAACAGGAAAATTTGAATTATGCTTTTCGATTATGTATCAAAAAGTTTAAATACGAGTGTTTTGAATTCATTATTTATTCAGATGGCGGCAACTAAGACATCCAATGCGAACAGTGCAGACCAAGATCAGCCGGTACATGTCTGCCGCCTGATTATGCTCTTCACATAGTCTTTACTTATTTTTAAATGTTTCTTTTAATGTGATCACTTTTCGTGTTGTAAGTTTTTCATGAACATTTATATCATG